CCCTCCTAACACATTTTCCAGTATTAGGTGCTGGGGAAAGTGCCCAGTGAATTTCAGTGGTTTGCCATTGTATTTGTTTTAAGCATCAACAGAAGAGCCTAGAACAGTGCACTGCTAATAGGCATGCTAAAAAACAACCAATGAAAACAGTAAAAACACAAAACCCTAGAAAACCCAAGAGCTATACAGTTTAGAGCTCTTTCCACGCTGTTTACCTGTTGTACTTGGTTGTAAGATCTGTTGCAGTGCTATACGATAGCTGCCATTCTCATCCAAGCTTTCAGAACCTTCTGTATTAAAATATAAAATCTAGTGCCTTAACACACCAAAACGCCAAAACGCTTCTAAATCCCTGGGTTTGGAAGCAATAGGCACTTTAGATATACATGCAATAACAATGCATAAAGTAAAAGTATGTGTGAAACTGTCTGGATCAGAGTAAGTGTTTCTCATTAGCCACTTCAGACATGTCCTTTCCAACAGCAGTTAAGTGGGAGAAAGAAAAAGTTTCTTCCTCAGTGTGTGCTGGAGCAGAAGTGAGTATTGTTGGCTTGGGTCAGTGGTCTTATTCCATTCATAGACTTTTCTGTTCAGTTCCGTATGGATATCTAATATAGAGAGTTTCCTGCAGCAACAAAAGTAAAAGCTTTCTATTAGAGAATGAAGCAAGACACCATTTAAGAATCCACAAGAGAGAAGACAACTTTAGACTCAGCAAGGAGAAAGTTTCAAATTTCAGTCTTTATTGCAGAGGTTACACCTCTAAAACTCAAGGCTGAATATGCATTTTTAAGACAATCTATTATAACCCAAATCACTATTGTGATATTCCTTAGGCTGACATGATGATCTGTGATTTCATTACAAGGTTTTAGGGTTTGTAAAAAAGGTACTAAATGTTAACCCTGCAACTATCTTGAAAAACAGTTGCTAGCTCCCTGGTAGATCAATTGTACAAAGAAAACCTTTGTTGGTTAAGTTATATATCCAAACTTATCTGATCTTTGCTCAGATTCCTTCTGATAATCTCTTTAGATAACTAAAGCTTTCTGATATTTAAATTCAAGATTACAAATTGGCAACCTAGTGGCTCACTGAGTGAAGGGTTAATTAGATCTAAAGAAAGGACAAAATCCTTCCCTCTTAACTGCCTTTTCCCCAAACTTAGGCACTGACTTCTTGTATCTGCAAGCAGAGCCCTTCTTAATGATAAAAGGCAACCCTCAATTTGACAGAAGCCTGGTGTGTGTCTCATTGTCTTGGAGAAGGAAGATTTCCAATCCTGACACACATTACCCAGGACAGGGTCTTCCCTTCTCACTCTGTAAGCCCCAGTGCCATAACACACTTTCATGTTACTATCCAGAATCAGAAACTTCACTCCTACTTTAGACTACCTTCCTGTGCCATCATTCCAGAATCAGGTATACTTGTCTTTTAACCTATGACACAGCATGAAGGCACTTTTCAGGACCAGATGGGATGAAACTTAAGGTTTCTCTTTCTCTAGGACAGCAGGCTGTCATAGGAAAAGGGTTATTTTTTCCTCTTTTTTTTATTTACCTTTTATGAGGATTGCGCAGTAGCTCAGCCAGACAACGCAGATAATATGAGGATGAACTGGGAGATTTTTCTAGTGTAGACACATCCACCTTGCACTGACTCCAAAAGATGTCTGCTACTTGGGGGATAGTGACTTTCCAAGGGATTTTTGCGTTAGCAGTGATTTTCTCATCATTCCCATCTACTTCCAACAGACTAGTACATTCTTGCTCATTTTCTGGCACAATGTAGCTCTGAATAAAAAAAAGCTTCGGTTTTCCTAGGAGTTCAGGACATGAGTCTCCTGTAAAGTATTTCTTTATTTGTTCCAAAGGGAATCCAGAAAAGGTATGGTCTGTACAGAAGACACTCTGAGGACTTCCACGGCTGACCAATATGCAAATGAAGCTGTCACAATTTCTGTGCTTCTGCAACCTTGCAACATCAAGCAATGTTTGATTCATAGTGTTCATGTTTAAATATCTGTGACAATGAACGTCATAGCCTAAGTCTCTGAAGGTCTCTTCCAACATATCTGAAAAAAGCAAGATGTAATTAAATCACACCACATCAAGGCTCAATCTCAACTATCTTGAATTACAGTATTTACAGTATTTCACTATGGGACATAAGATGCTTATTTCATCACAATAATTACAAAATTGGGAGTACTTGATGTTGATCACAGTACACGACATACTTATATTGCTATCTGCACGTTGTCTTTTATATGAGTTATCACAGAATCATAGAATCGTTAAGGTTGGAAAGGACCTCTGAGATCATCGAGTCCAGCCTGTTAACCTAAGTGCCTGGTCTACCTCTAAACCACATCCCTAAGCACCACATCCACACATTTTTTGAATACTTCCAGGGACCGTATGTACTTCATGACAGCAAAGACACTACTATTTGGTACGTGATCTGTTCCAAATTCCACAGACACTTGCATGCTTTCATTTAGAGCCAGTATCCCAAGTTCCTAGGACTTGAAACATTAGGCAAGAGAAAACATTAGAAAATGCTTCACACAGAACATTCTTGAAATGGTAAGGAGTGATCTTGATAGCATGGGAAGTCTGTTTCACCTTTTAACTTGTCAAAATTACTCTGAATAGTTATTATAGATATACAGAACTGCATAGGAAACACAGACTCCCTTCATCAGTCAAAAAAGAACCTACTGCAATCATTTATGCTTCCTATTATATAAAACAGACTAAGTGATGAGTTCCAGGTGGAGAATGGACACTGCAGTCTTAACTGTGACAGAATGGCATTTTCAGGGAAAAAACAAAACAAAAAAACCCCCAAAAACCTGAACAATGAACCTTTTCAAATGTGTTAGAAATTTAAACTGTAGATAGCCAAAAATCAAGATTTAACTCTATAGTATTTGTGTTAAACTGTGCTGCAGGAAAATGTGCTATGCTCTGAGTAACTACTTTGGATGTTTATTCATATGGGAGTGAAACCAGATACACGGTGGTTAGAACCACAGGTATTTTTTAAGTGTTCAGAGAACCACAAGCTACTAGTATGACTCATACCTGTAGCATCTTATCTTTAGTGTAAACCACATATAATTGCCCATGCACAGTTTCTGATATGACAGGAAATATCAAGTGCCATGTGTATGTAAAATGCCTTACAGACACAGGAACCTAGACTGTTCCTTGACTTCCAAAGTTTAACAATCCCTAATTAGCAGAGGCTATTTCAGAGGTAACTGGCAGCAAAGGAGGAGTTCTACTACCACACTGTTCTCCTCCAAAAGCCCATAGTGAAAACAGGGAACAGAACTTGTAACTTTCCTCAGCAAAATACAGGGTAGACACAAACTCTATGCTACAGCGAGGTGGAAAACAGGAACTACAGAGTTTCATTCCAGTTCTGTCGGTTTGATTAAATTTTGTAAAATAATTCAAAAACTTTCCAGACATTTTAAAATTTGGAAATAGAAAGGAAAATCCCCTCTATTTTAGGCAATAAAACATGCAGTAAAAATAAATAAATAAGTAAAACAAGATTCAGTATTAATACAGTTTAGCAGTCATACTCAATGAAGCACTTCATCCATTAGAGGGCAGTAGTATATATGCAAAACGAGAGTTAGAGCAACGGGAGTGCTTTTCCTGTAATTTACTATCTCACTCTTTTCCTATAACTAACTTACCTCACTAGGGTGTACACATACATACAAAGATACAAAACTTGGTGTCACCTTAGACCATACACACACTCTAAGTATCACAATTAAAACAAAATAAACCCAATGAATTTAGAGCTGATACCTTAGTTTAACAACAAATCGGAAATTATATATGGTAAGCTTTGGATACAGCAATTTTACTTTAAGGCAAGACAAAACACAGCATTACATGCTGCAACCTGAGATGAGAAAACATCTTGTTTCTTCAACAGTAATCATCTCCCAACAAACCTCCACTGACTTTTGAGCATTTCCACTCTACATGAAAAACTACCCATTTCTCCCCTTGATTGTTGTTGTGGTTTAACCCCAGTTGGCAACTAAGCACCACACAGCTGCTCACTCCCCCTCCACCTCCCCATGGGATGAAGGAGAGAATCGGGAAAAAAAAGTAAAACCCATGGGTTGACATAAAGACAGTTTAACAGAACAGCAGAAGAAGATAACATAATACTAATAATGATATATAATAATGATATATAAGAATATACAAAACAAGTGATGGACAATGCAATTGCTCACCACACGCTGACCAATGCCCAGCCCATCCCCAAGCAACCATCAATGCCCTCCGGCCAACTCCCCCCAGTTTATATACTGAGGAATGGAATAGCCTCTTGGCCAATCTGGGTCAGCTGTCCTGGCTGTGCTCCCTCCCAGCTTCTCACTGGCAGGGCATGAGAAGCTGAAAAGTCCTTGACTAGTGTAACCACTCCTTTAGCAATAACTAAAACATCAGTGTGTTATCAACATTATTTCTCATCCTAAATCCAAAACACAGCACTATACCAGCTACTAGGAAGAAAATTAACTCCATCCCAGCCAAAACCAGGACAGTTGTTTACAACGTAGGATAAAAATTGGCTTCCAAATGCAAAAGTCAAAAGCAGCTATTTACAAAAAAGCAAGACTCTATTTACAAAACCACAAGGTGCATTTCAGTTTGAATTTTATCAGCATCTGATGAATTCACATTGTTTACACTGGGCATTTGCAATTGTTTTAATCCTTGATCCTACAGTATCTATTATTGCCTCAGCTTCCTCAGATTAAATCTTTGGATAGCTACAGACTCTAATGCATGCCACAGATACAATTCCTAACATTCTCCCTGCCATCTTCTCTTTCTTTGGTATTTTCAGACTTCAGAAGTAGTGCGGCACAACAACTCTATAGAGTAGTGAATGCCTTTCTAACAAACTCCTTTAAGCAATGCCGTATATCCTGCCTTTCCTGAATCTCACTAGCACAGTAATGTATTTCATTGAAAGTCTTGCTTTCTATCATGTTAAAATGTTAATGATGCACTGGTGACATCAAGTATCTGAGACAAATGCATGATTTAATTGCTTCTCTACCCAACGCAGACACGCATGGAGACTGAGGCACACTAAGACTTACTCTGGGTGGTTTTGGCACAGCAGTAGCAGAGCCATGATTTGCAGGGGTATCTGACATGCCAGATGCTAAATACGTAACCCATTTTTGTCCTTTCCAGTCAGCAGACTTCATCTATCACATTTACACTTTCTGTTCTTGTGCAAGTACTGAAATGACCATATGAGCTCGTGAAGGGCACATGCATTGATTTTTTTTTTTTTTTACTTTGTGCACATCTTTGTATTTAGTAGCAATTACTATGACAAAGGGGTCTGCACAGTATATTGCCTGCGCAAAAGATCTGTGCCTTCTAGGGAAGAATAGATCTAAATTTATGTATCCGTGACTATGAACTGACGTAACAGTTCCTTCTTTACTTCCTGTTGTCTCCAGTGTACGTGCCTTACCTGCTGTTACACTTACTGTTTCATTTAAAAAACTCAGACCTGGCATAGTAAAACACTCTTATTCAAAAAACCAGGTCAGCACATGCTCATATCCCATTAGAGACAATGAAATTTAAAGAGTTTTTTTTTGTAAACAAGGGTATTTTCACACCTCATGTTTCCTTTAACTCTCCACACCAAAATTTCTCTAGCGATCCTTTTTGCACTTGCTTTTAAGAAACAGAACTTCAAGTAATACATAATTATTTTGGTACTGGAGCAGACCATTGCGCTACCTTCCAGATTAAGCCTGCATAGTAACTTTCTTGCATCAAAAGGGTCTTTTGTTCTCTAAAGCTACCATGAAAGAGAGAAGAACACTGAAGTAAAGCAGCAGGCAACAGGACAGAGTAGAATGTTTGATTCCAACAGCCGCTCCACCCCCCCAGTCTTTCAGTCCTTGGCAGGCTGTCTTTGTTTTATTTTCCTCTTGGGGCAAAAGTCAGCATATTTTTTTTGAGAGTAGAACTGAAGAAGTGCTTTAGTTTAACAACTTAATTTCTATATCCAGCAATTGTATCCTTGTTTTTTTTTTTTTTTTTGTGGGTTGTTCTCCTTTTTTCTTTTTTTTGCCAGAGGTCACTGATGAACTTGGTAAGACAGACCGCAATCAGATCCCAAGGATGCTTCCCAATTGCATGTAACTGAGTTAAGTGCCTTCCTTGTCCCTCTTCTCCATGCATGGCAGGATTGTTAAGCAGTTCTAGTTCCTGTTACCCTAATGGCAAACTAGAGTGTGTTATTTTATATCATTTACCTAAAATACTGTTGTCAAGCAAACATCAAAATTTTACTTTGTGTCAGTGCTCTGCATCCACTGCTCTTCAGCAACTACATAAATAATTCTGTTGGTCCATCTGCTGGACCATTAGTTTTGAGAAAGCACAAAGCCTTTGTGCATCTTGTAGCTTATTACAGAACTGACTGCAACTACTCTCTTCATTTTTATTTTTAGCCTCATGTGTTCCAATGATTAGAGAGTGCGTTTTTTTTTGTTTATGCAAGAATCTGATTTTTGGATTCTACAAAGGCAATCAAGAAAAACCCATATTTTAACCATGGTACTGACCACCTTGAATTCTACATGCAAATTGGTTTTTTCGGTTTGTGGGTTTTTTGCACTTTTTTTTTTTAACTAAACCAAGAGGGAAGTAAGAAAAATTCCTTTCCCTATAAAGCTATGGTGATGGTTTCAGTTAAACTGTGCAAGATGTAACAGAAGCCTAGGTACATTATTAATAAAGGACCACGTGCCTTCAGCTATTCAAAATCTGTGGTGTCCATTATGATTACACTTCAAATCTGCAACAGCTTTGGTTTTGGTTTTGTCAACTGGTGGGCAACACTATCTTTACCATCTCTGCCAATAACCTGCTGTGTGACTGCAGCTTAACTATTCTGTTGGTCTCTGAACATCCTTTTTCTCCTTCACAAAATTCAGTCTATCCCCTTGTAAGTTCTTTCATTCAGAGATTCTGCACCAAAAACCAAACAAACGTTGTTTGCAATAGTTAGGACAGTTGGCTTTAACCTCAGGTTGGGCCTTCCAACTCTTTGCTTTAGAAAACTTACAAGAATTGATAAGACTAGCTGACTAGGACATTATCCTAGTCTGGCTGGTAAATGTACATCATATTCTTTATACTAAATTGTTCTAATTATCCCAGATTAACAAGATAAGGAACTTCAAATTCCAGAGACTTACCTGTGTCATTGCCAATACAGTCTATTATCAGGCATATTCCTAAAGGTCGACTTTGCATTCTGTACTGATCATCAAATACCTGAGGAACGTGAAGGACAAATACTAAGTTAGCATGTCACTCTCTCAACTTACAGACTTTCTTCTTTTCTCCAATTTAACCACATCAGATCTATTAAATTACATTCTGTTATTTTTTCCATAGAGTAGCTAGTGGAAGTCCATCTACTGGGATGAAATATGTCTTATCTACACAACTAAAACAAAAAATCATGAGACAAGGACTAATGATTTTTTTTTTCCTTATTTCTAGTACAGGCTTAATTTTTGCATCCTTGTGTTACACAATCTTACTACCATAATGATCCTTAATCAAAGACTAAGACTGTACCAGAAATGAGAGGTGAGTTTGAGACTGAACCTTAACTCTGGACACATCTTCAAATGTAACCCTCCTCCTACCCCCCCCCCCCCAAAAAAAAAAAAAAAAAAAACCAACCCCAAAAACCCCAAACCTGTATGGGGTGGAAGGGCTTTTTGAAGACCTGGACTATGACAGGAATGATCCTCCTATAGTACCTCCAAATTAATTTAAGTGTAACTGCTATTGAGATGTTAGGAGCTATAAGCTTCATCCAGCCAACACAGTAAATGTAGAGAACTTTTGTGTTTTTCAGGTATGCAAACAAGCACTGCTCATCTGAACATTTATTGCCTTATTTAGTGGAACAACCTCCTTGTAATGACTCTATCACAATTCCTCTCCCCTTTAAAAAGATGACAATCACTTTGCTACACGTAACTCCCTGGTTCCTGGCCTACAGGAGAGCTGGTGAAAATAGCAGTAGTCCATTCTTATCAAATACCCAAAGCATGTCTGTCTTCTACCTGGAGAGCAAGGGGCAGGGAGACAATAAAGAACAAAATTTACTGCATGCAAAGAAGCCCTGCCATTTCTAATGCAGATGGCAAGAGGTCTGACTTCCAATAGGTTTTGACTTAGCCTCCACTAATAAATATACATGTTCTCTGTGCACATCATATATACATGCATTTTGCACAGTGCTGCTTCCATTTCATATTAAAAATATATTCTGCAAAAGCAGCTCATAGAACCTGTTTATGGCTGAGGAAGATATGGATGTACACATCTTTCTGTTTGCATGCAATTAAAGGAAATCTCAAAATGAAACACAAAGCAAACTAAGGTAAATACCTGCAGAGGTTTTTATTATATTTACATGCATACATATGCACAAGCACATACCTTATGTGACACTGGTCCTGATTCCTGAATGGGCACGTGGACTGGTTCTGTTGCAGTTAAAACATACAGAAGTAATTTCAGTATGTAGGTACCAGTGACATTTCTTTGACACCAAATCAGTTACAGAGGAACCTATCTAGTTCAGCCAAGCTTTCACTCATCTGGACCTCTTAGTTTCTATGTATGCTACTGAAGTTAAAAAAAAAACCAAACCAAAACAAAACCAAGTATTTTACCTCTAAATGTTATTTGGATTGCATTCTACATTGCTTGTGACTAGAGTAAACAAACAAACAATGTCTCCTACACTGCGAGAATTCAGCCAACTACTCTTTTAAAAATCACCATATTTAAGAGGTATTTTGGGTTTCCAGAAAGAACACAGCGAACATGGTAAGAACACGGTACTCACCAGACAACTTCCTGGCCTGCCTGGTGGAGAGTCCACCACTGAACAGACACAAAAACTTCCTACTCAAGACTTAATGGACACGGCTGCACTACGTGGGCCTCCAGAGCTGGCTAGTCAACCTTTTCCATGATTTTATTACTAAACTATTTATTCTGTTAGAAAGTTGTGACAGTGGAAGCCCAAAACAATTTCAATAAAGTTTTAAGATCTGGCAGCACAAGCAAAGCAAATACAAGAGCAAACAACAAGGCAAGGCTCACTTTTCAGAGGTACCAAATACCCTCTGCTCCTGGTGGTATCAACTGAATTAGCCATAAACACAACTATCAAACAACAGTCCTTTTGATACGATGAAACACATCGTTTGGCTCTTTTATATTATCAAAACTCAGATAAAATGCTCTTACCCAGAATAAGACTTTGTCCACTTCGTGGTTCTTCTTTGTTCACATTGTGGACCTAAAATGAAGAAAAACATGTATTTTCCCTCTCTCCTTCAAGAATTAATAATCACGTGTTCCAAAATATAACACAATAATATTTTTCTTCCTCAGTAAAAGGATTACATATTTTAGATTCACATCTATCAGCTAACTAGAATTACAAAATAACAAATTAAAAAAACCCTACCAAAGCCACAAACAAACAAAAAACCCCAAACCCTTCCTCCTCAGAAGAAAAAATTACCAGTTTGCCATGAACAGCAAAGAAAAGCTTAATCCTTAAAATAGTAAAACAAACAAACAAAAAACCTCTGAAGATGTGAATTTTGTTTCCTATAGAGCAGCAGGGAGGAACTTTCACTGAATTAGAAAGGAAACTATAACATTATTATCATAATGTGGAAAGTCAATGCAAACTCTTTCC